TTAATAACGTCCAACAACATTTTCTTGTTTACAACTTAATTCAAAAGCAGAGGTCACTCATTGGTTCCATAAAAATGGAAATGCAATACAATTCTATTAAGGCTGCGTTTTTCGGTCGCATTTAAGTACCCATCATAAGCATCTACAAATTCCGAAAAGCTGTATCAAATGCAATATACATTGAAACACGTGATCGCACTCCCATATGTCAACGTGTTCCAGTGTTGCCTTAGCATGCTTCTAAAATTGTTCCCGTGAGTTCGAAATGGGAGTGATTACTATTTTTGATACAAAAATCAATATTCCAGTGTAACCTCTCCTGGACCCTGTACAAGTATTAATCAGGAATGACCTTGTTTTTTTGGGTTTTTTTAAAGAGAAAAAATTACAAATTTTGAAAAGGTCTCTTGCTATCGGAAGAGAGCTATGCGCAAATTGCATGGTTACCTTTGTTACTTGTAATTAGCAATAATTTTCGTCAATTCCGTTATTACTTATAAATGTCTTTTACGTGCCGATTTTATTGTATTCATTTTCTTATAATAATCGGTGAGTAACAGATGAGCTTTTATTATTTGAAACTGAAACATTGAATTTTTTAAATTATAATTATAAAATGGTTAAGCTACAAGATATTTTTGCAAGTAGGGTATGCGTTCCGTTTAGTCATTTTTATGTTCAGCGCCGCGGAACTTTACCTCTAATTTTGTCGTATTGCATTTCTTTATCGCCGATGAGGAAAGGTCTACGGAATGTATTTTCTATATTTGTATCATTCTTCTCCATTAAAAACCTTAAATTTTTCAAAATCGAGTTACATAATTATGATACAACTACAGATTATTTTGTAAAGAAGGTATCCGTTTTGCAAAGGTATTTTACGCCGATAAATTTGATACAGATATAGGCAGACATGATCTTTCAACAGTATTTAAGTAGTTTTCACAATATTGAACAGAAAATTTAGGTCAGATTATCGCATCGAATTTTCAATAGACTAGAGACATGGCATCTTAACATACCTTCATACTAAAGTGTGATTTTTATTTGAGAAAACTTAAACAAAGGTTTTCAGAAAATGACTTTACAGAGGATTACCCCCTGTTTACATTGAAAATTTCTCTACTAGTCATACCGAAATAAGAAATTTAAATGTTATTCTCTTTATAATTAATTCAAATATTTATAATCTTAAAACTTCACGCCAGAAGTTAATAAACAAGAGCTGTCCGTAAGACAGCGCGCTCGACTTTTTTAGTGCTTGCCTATAATACAAAACATTGACAGTTAAGGGCCATAATTCAAATAAAATCTTTGACAGAATTACCTTCTCCTGGACATGTTTGGGAATCATGATTGTAAACAAGTATTCCAACTTTCAAATTAATATCTCAAACAGTTCAGTCAAAAAGTGGACTGGTACTAAAAACTTAACCAAGATTCTAAGTCGATAAAAGGCCTTAATTTTTAAAACAAATCCTTGACAGAGTTACCTTCTCTTGCGTACAGATGGGGGTAATGATGTGAAAAAGCATTAAAAGTTTCAAAGCAATATCTCAAAGGGTTAAGGCAATAAGTGGATTTTACCCATATTCAATGTATTTTCTAAGTCAAAAAGGGGCATAATTCTGTCAAAAACCTTGACAGAGTTATGTCTCTTGTCTGTTGATGAAGGTCGTGATGGTAAACAAGTATGGTCAGTTTCAAAGCAATACCTCCAATGGTTTTGAAATAAAGTGAGGTGGTACAAAAAAACTTAACCAAGCTCAATACACTTTCTAAGTCAAAAAAGGGCCATAATTCTGTCAAAAACCTTGACAGAGTTATGTACTCTTGTCTGTAGATGGAGGTTATGATGGTGAACAAGTATGGTAAGTTTCAAAGCCATACTTGTAATACTTCTGAAATAAAGTGGGGTGGTACGAAAAACTTAACCAAGGTGTGAGACGCCGACGCCGGGGCGAGTAGGATAGCTCCCCTTTTCATAGAAAAGTCGAGCTAAAAAGCTGCTTATTTGTACAGCTGACGGTTAACAAATTTTGTTGAAAAACAAATCCGACAGGTGTGTCCGACCGTGGCCAAGCTGTTTATGTTTACTGAATTCAAATCACTTGAATTTGACCTGCTATGAATTCGAAAAACTACCAGGGGACTTTTTATTCTTTCGTGAAGCTAGTTTCAAAATGTCGATGGTTCTCTGCAGGTGCAACAATTTTGCCTGAAACAATGCACAAAGGAGCACCTGAGGTCCTCGCCCCTAGTAAAAGCTAATGTATAGAGTGAAAGTTTGAAAAAAAAAGAAAACCACAAAAAAGCAGTCATTACCAAGAACATGCAGAACCACAGTTAACTTAGAGCGTAGCTAGCCAACATGAATTCAAGTTAATAGATTTCTATATTTTTTTGTGCGAAAAAGAATTATGGATAATATTGAACATACCGGAAAATATAAGAAATTATTTCAGATATTATATGATCAATTAGGTAACATGTTCATGTTTAACTGAAAAGTAGCAATGTAAACTTTCAAATTAAATGTTATATTGGACATGACACAATTTATTCTAATAATCAAAAGCAACAGAACATTGCTGTACACCGCAAATGATCTGGGTTTTTTTTTTATCTAGCGCAAGTGATTATTCCATAAAATAGAAATATATTGCCAAAATTATCCCCCTGTGAAAAGACTGCCAAAAATACAACTGCGTCGTATGCATATTTTATTTTCAACTGCGTCGTATCATTTTCGTAAAAATCATTATTTTCTAAGAAAATAAACATCTCTTTTTAATGAAATTTTAGTAAATGATGCAAAATTATATTTCGAAGTTTATGGTGAACTCTGAAACAAATAAATAATTGATTTGAAGGAAAAAACGATAGATAAAGCAATATGAACTGCGTCGTATCCACACATTTTCATAAAAAATTCTGCTCCGCTTCGAGATGCAAGTTCGCTATAACTTTTGTTTTACAAAATCGTTGTGCAAGCAACATATACCGAACGAAGCGGAAAATAGTGTAGCGTGTTAATAGATATATCTGGTTTTCAGTCATTTCCAACAAAAGAAGTTATAAACAAAAACATACGTTTTTCGTTCCAAGATGGCGGCGTTTGTTTACATTTTGTAGGATACGACGCAGTTTTGATTCCCAGCCCTGACATTGAAGTACTGCTAATGAAGTTAACCAGAGAAAATAATTTACACATTGCAAGCAGCACTTGGAACCAATGTATGTTACCAAAATAGGTCAAATTAAGCAAACAAGCCCATACTACGTTAGTAATGCAGTAGAAATTTGGCTCATCTGGAGGCATGCAGCTTTAAGTTTTTTTTAACCCAACTTGGCAATATCTCTGGCGTATAATATGAATGGATTATTGGATGGACAAACGGACAAATCTACTGAGATACCATTTAAATACAATATGGGGTCATTTCTCTTGTTTATTTATTTTGTTTATATGGTTCCTCATTAATTATATGATGACATCTATTTGCTTACAATAAGATGGTCCCCAATTTATATTAAATAGCTTTGAGGCAAATACCAACAATTTGGGTTCATGGGCCTTTTCATTGTCCTTCATGTTGTTTTTTACCACAGTGAAAGTTATCTTCTTTCAAATTCTTCAACAACGATACTTAAGCTTATTATTATAACATTAGATGTTTGCCAGGGTGGACAATGCAGCAAGATGGAAGGATAGCTTGGTTGGTTGGTTGGATGGTTGGATGGATGGATGGATGGATGGATGGGTTGGGTTGGGTTGGAAGGATGGATGGGTTGGTGGGTGGGTTTTGGATGGATGGGTGGGTGGATGTTTGGATGGATGGATGGATGTTTGGATGGATGGCTGTATGGACGGAAGGACGGTTGGATGGATGGGTGGGTGTTTGAGTGGTTGAATGAATGGGCAGATGGTTGGTTGGTTGGATGGATGGATTGATAAATGGCCATTATGGACAGGCAGTTGTGTTGGTTGGTTGGATGTATGAATGGGCAGGTGGGAGGTTTTTTTTTTTTTTTTTTTTGTGGTTGAATGAATGGGCAGATGGTTGGTTGGTTGGTTGGATGGATGGATTGATAAATGGCCATTATGGACAGGCAGTTGGTTGGTTGGTTGGATGCATGCGTGGTCAGGTGATTGGATGAATGGATGGATAGTGCATGAATAATGTATGAATAATGGCCTCATTCAAGGACACTATTTCTATGGCCTCATTCAAGGACACTATCTCTAGTACTGTGTTTTACAACTCAATTAAAATATATTTTCATCAGCTTTTTGCAAATTCTATCATGGCAATGCAAAATGTAAGTATAAGCATAAATAACAATACTGCCTCTACAATATTTGAATAAATACATAACTTTTTATGTATAAAAAAATTCGTAAGGCTCATCAGCAACATAGAATTTGTAATTAATTTGTAAGTATAATGTCTATCAAACATTAGACAAATTACACTACAATAAAAATGTTGTCAATCTGGTAGAAGCAGCGGAATTTTGAGAAAAAAGGTTTTATGGAAAAAAAAGAAAATTAAATGAAAATTGTTGACATGACATTTCAAAATGACTGAAAAAACAACAACAAAATATTCACCTTCTTCTAATTTCTTTCTCATGCGTTGTCAGGTAGCCATCTGCCTTGAACAAGCTATCGATATAAGGTACCTCAATCTTAGAACTGTCTGCCATCTTCACTGCTTAATTCCAACTGATTTTCTCGCATGCAACATACAAGTGTGAGCTGCATGTAACAAAACTTGCGGTTCTTCAACCTTGTAGGTTAAAATAAGGTCAAGGTCTTTCAAAAAAGCTAAAATTGTACAAATTTTCCAGGTTTTATTCCAATGTCATTCAATAATGAATAAAAATTATGACTTAAATAGATGTGAGGTATATATAAAATACTTAAAAATATCATGAATATTGTTTATTAAAGTGCAATTACCTAATTTCTTATTGTTTCACGCAAATGTACATGTATATTAGTAGAGTACTCTTCTCAAAGAAGGTATACCAGTTAGAGGACAACAATCTTCTGAATTTATGGCTTTATAATATATATTTTTGGCGATATTTGTATAAAAAACATTGTAAAGGCTGGTAAGATAATGTTTGTGTTATTTAAGCATCTTAAAACAATTTTGAGTTTTGAAATAAATGATAATCATCATCATGTTTAAGTGTACTACCAGTCGGATATATTGTAACTTCGGCTAGTACTCGGCCCAACACCAACTCGACACCGATCAGAAATCAAAGTTTTTGAGCCATTTTGTTATCATTTTGGTGTATATTACACTGTCTCAGCAATGCTCAAATTAAATAAGATTATTTTCTAGTCTTTTATATGCATAATATTTTCAAATTTAATTTTTCATAAAGCTGTAAATAACACCAAACTCTGCTCATAATGTGTGTCATATCCAACAGGCCTGCTGACTGTATTAAACAGATGTTGAACTGGTCAGATATACTTTTCTTTTCAACAGAACCATTCAATGCATAAATGAGCATATTCAGATATAGTATTTTGTACTATTTGTAGAAAAACACACTGTACAATGATAAATATATATGCTTTTGTCTTTGATTTGTTTAAATGGGTTTTACATCACACTGACACAGTATAAGTCATATGGGGATATTCCAGCTTTACTGATGGAGGAAGACCTTAGGTACCCTTCTGTGTATTATTTCAGGCATGAACGGGCATTTGAGTAGAACCACCGACGTTCTGTAAGCTAGCTGGAAAGCTTCCTCACATGAAAGAATCCAAAGTCCTTGTTAGGATTGGAACCCAAAGTGGCGAGGGGCAAGAAGTTTAAAGTCAACAATCTCAACCACTCGGCCACCGACGCCCCTTTTTTCTTTGAAATCTTGGACTTCATTTGACTGGATCTCCAAATAACACCTTTCAAAATAACCTTATAATAATTTATTAAGGCAGCCATTTTAAAAAGAAAAAATTGGATTAGATATCTTGCCAAAATTGGTCAGAGACTTAGCAATTTCTTCAAAATTAGACAGAGTTAATGCCCCTGTTTTTGTGGAAATATTTGTTGATATTTATTTTTGTTCTTCATTCAGGTAAACAACATATAATGACACTTGTATCTGTTTTTGTGGAAATATTTGTTTATATTTATTCTTTTTGTTCATTCAGGTAAAAAGCATATATTTCCATTTGTTTCTATTTTCAGACATTTTTGTCATGCAAATTTTATGGTAGTCATACTAAAGTAGGATTTCAGCAGAATGAAAGCCAGGTTTCTACATGTGATGAAGAGAACAGGGACTGTGTTTGCTAAATGTATACAGTATGGTTGTCTGTACCATTGTATAACCACATATGGAGTCTCATGTGTCACAGTAAGTACAATGTATAACCACATATGGGGTCTTATATGTCAGAGTAAGTACAATGTATAGCCACATATGTAGTCATGTGTCACAGTGAGTACAATGTATAACCACATATGGAGTCTAATGTGTCACAGTGAGTACAATGTATAACCACATATGGAGTCTCATATGTCACAGTTAGTACATTGTACAATGTATAACCACATATGGAGTCTCATGTGTCACAGTAAGTACATTGTATAATGTTTAGCCACATATGGAGTCTCATGTGTCAGTGAGTACAATGTATAATCACATATGGAGTCTCATGTGTCACAGTTAGTATAATGTATTACCACATATGGAGTCTGTATATTGTTATCTGTACCATTGTATAACCACATGATTATGGAGTCTCATGTGTCACAGTATGTACAATGTGTTCTGGCCAGTCTGTACTATCATGCAGTCTGACCAGCTTGTTAACTCTTAGCCACCTTATCTAAGTATCTTGAGATAACACAACCCTTGACTTTCAATAATGTTTCAGAGGACAATAATAATGAGGTCTCAAATATTATTTAATGGTTCTTTACCATACAAACAAACAGTATCTTTTTTAATTAATGCATCTCTTTGATTAGTCCATTTATAATGTGTTTTCATAATAAACCAATCAGATTGGAATGCTGTTTATTCAATGATATTATCCTTATTGTAGTGTGACGGGAAGTCAATGGAGCCCACTATTTACCATGGTGACGCATATATTGTGGAATGTGTAAGTGTTCATAGACAGACACTAAAAAGGTACTTACTGGTGTTTATAGATTAAGCTGAATATATTTACTTGAATTCTTTTTGGTCTTCACTCTTGCATCCATCTTGTATCCATGCACAAAGCTCAGTTTCATTGATAAAAATAAATATCCTTGTTGTAAGAAATAAATCATTTAAAGATAACACTCTATAAATTGTAAAATGTGTATTGTTCAAAATGTGTAATAAAAATATATACATTGTACATGTAATATACATGTTTGAAATTCATGCAATACATTATTGTCCACAGTTTTGTTTTTATGTCATACTAGATTAGTGCACATATTTTTATTTTAATATGCCCGAAGTAACTTCGGGACATATTATGGTATGGTATTGTCTGTACGTCTGTAAGTTAGCTTAATTAGTAAAACGTAGAACTGTATATAAAGTGACCTGAGTTTGATTCCTGGATGGTGCCGGTCTCTTTCCTTGTGATTGATCATGAAATCATTCCTACAGTCATTCACACTGTACAGTTTACCTGTGCTTTGGCATGTACAGAAGTGATATCAGTTCCTTACCAAAGTGGAGGCACTAGTAATCGTCAACTGCTCGACAGCCTGCCCAGAAACTATGCAGAGTTTGAATTGTGCTCTGGTGAATACAAAGTGGCTTTTTGCTGTGATCTAGTGGGTTAAGTAAAAATCCCATCACCAGAAGGCTAGAGCTTTTTGTTTATTGGTGCCTGGCATAGTGGTAGGAATTTGGAGGTACATGATATGCAAGCAAAAGGTGTCTCATAAGTCAGAAATGGCTGGCCCTTTCAGTAGGGATGACACTATAATAAACAAAACCTTTTATAATGATTGCAAGTTTGAATGTCATCCAGGGCAGGATTTTTTGTGGTATTGATTTCCATATTTGTGTAACAATTTCAAAATGTTTGCAAGATATACAATGTATACCTGTATAATTTTAATTTTTAGGGGAGACGTAATTGGTGTTAAATCATTAGATGATCCAAATAAGTTCATATGTAAAAGAATAGTTGCTATGGCAGGGGATAAAGTATACAATGAAGTATCCAATGAACGTATTTGGGTAGGTGTAACATGCAAAATAGTATATTATATGTTCTAGGTGCATAATGTTTAATCATTGTTGTAATATATAGAGAATTTTTATTTGTTGAAGTATAAGGCTGAAGTATATCTCACAGAGTTGAACACCAGATGCAATATTTTTTGCTGGCTTTCATTCCTCTTGGAAATAATGACATCATATAGAGAATATTATCAAAGAATATTTTTTTGTTTTCTATGTAAGATGGAAATGCAATTTGAAATGTTCACGCATTCTTCATAATAAAAAAGTGCAGGTTTTTGTGCCCCCACTTTAGTGGCGGGCATTTAGATTTACCTTTGTCCGTCTGTCCATCTGTCCGTCCGTCCGTCCTTCCGTCCGTCTGTTCTCTTTTATGTCGCATGTAACTCAAAAAGTATTTGACCTAGAGTCATGAAATTTTACAGGAAAGTTGATCAGAATGTGTATTTGTGCACCTGGGTATTTTCATCTGGATATTTAGTATTTTTAGAGTTATTGCCCTTGACTTAGTAAAATTTTGCAATTTTCAACTTGTGTCGCATGTAACTCAAAAAGTATTTGACATAGAGTCATGAAACTTTACAGGAATATTGATCAGCATGTGCAGTTGTGCACCTGGGTATTTTCATCTGGATTCATTTAGTATTTTTAGAGTGAATGCCCTTGACTTACAGTAGTATAAATTTGCAATTTTCAACTTGTTCATGCATAGCTCAAAAAGTATTTCACTTGTAGGCCTGAAAGTTTACAAGAATGTTGGTCAGCATGTGTACTTATGCACCTTGGGGTTTGCTTGTGGATTTACTCAGTATTTGTAAAGTTCTTGCCCTTCACTTAGTAAAAGATTTTTAGTTTTCAAAAAATAATTGACCTAGAGTCATAAGATTGACAGAACAGTGGCGCGGTGGGGGCATCCGTGTCCTATGGACACATTTCTAGTTGTCATTTTGATACATTGATATTATACATTGTTATTTTTCATGATTCTTGTTTTATATAATTATGTAGGTACCTAAAGGTCATGTTTGGTTAGAAGGAGATAACAAAATCTGCTCACATGATTCCAGACATTATGGCCCTGTACCATATGGATTGATATTTTGTAAATTAATATTTAGGGTAAGTGAATTACTCAGTAATATTTTTCATCTGTTCTTCATTTATTTGATTTGTTCTGTATTTTTAACCAGGTTTTCCGAAACAGAAAATCCTGATTATTAGATTTGATACTGTCAAGAGCAGGTCATGAACTACTTTTAACTCGACTATTTGATAAGAATAAGTAGAGCTATTGTAGTCACCTGAGCGTCGGCGTCCGCGTCGGCGTAACCACTTATGTTAAAGTTTTTGTAATACCTCAAATATTTTCAAAGTCCATTGACATATGGCTTTGAAACTTTGCACACTTATTCACCATCATGACCCCAACCTGTAGACAGTAGGAGATAAATGTATCAAGCATTTTGACAGAATTATGCCCCTTTTTCGACTTAGAATTTATGTTAAAGTTTTTGTAATACCTCAAATATTTTCAAAGTCCATTGACATATGGCTTTGAAATTTGCACACTTGTTCACCATCATGACACCAACCTGTAGACAGGAGGAGATAACTGTATCAAGCATTTTGACAGAATTATGCTTTAATACAAGTTGAAATTTTATATTCTTTTTTGAGAGCATAATAGGACTCTCGCCAAGGCCTATAACTGTTACATGGATTTAAAGAATATTTTTGCCCTTTTGTTAACTTTGAAAATTTCACATTATCAAGGCTCTTTTACTATCAAGCACTAAGAATAGTCGAGCGTTGCTGTCCTACCGACAGCTCTTGTTTTAAAATCCACAAATTTAATCTCTTTTTGATCTTACTTGTAACTGTCCAAGACCCATAACTACACTTGTGGTATGCACTTTTTGTAGATTTGTTTCCCTTTGTGAATTTAGATTATCTTTGTTTAAAGTTTGGTCATATGTTTTATCTCTATGAACACTGAAGGTATTTTCTTTGCAGCTTGTCTTATTGGTTACTGAAATTAGACCCATTAATCTAACATTGACCTTTGCTGAAATATTCTTCTTTGTGAACTAAGTGAGTTTTTGCACTACCTTGACGTGGCTGTTGTTGTAGGCAAAGAGTCAAGCAAACAGTCTTTCTAAAATCTCTTGTTACTTTAGGATTGAGTATCATTCCCATTCATTCCAATAACCTTTTTAATTGAAGGTTAAACATGTACATTTACCATCACATGTCATTTAATGGAACATCAGTGGTTCTTCCCAGGTGCCTGTTCGTGCCTGAAATAATGCACGGAAGGGCACCTGAGGTCTTCCTCCACCAGTAAAACTGGAACGTCGCCATATGACCTATAATGTGTCAGTGTGACGTAAAAACCCAGTTAAACAAACAAACAAACATGTCAATTAAAAGTGACTGCGATTTTCCACTTATTACATTGTTAATCAGATATTTTCAAGATTTTACCTTGTTTCACAAGATTTATAATGCTTCCATAATTATTTTTCAGATCTGGACAGGTCACCAGCACAAAGTTCATATGTCCAAGGACAGATGACCGTAACTCAGGAATTAGGCCTCTTCATTTATACAGTATTCATCATGAGTTAATTACCTGCAGAGTAAGAGTGACCCAGTTATTGGACATGTACAATAGGTACAAACATTAGGAAAACTAGGAAAATCTATATTTAGAAAGTTAGAAGATTTGGAATGTGCATCATGTCATACATATCAGATAGACAAGTTATGTATAAAGGCAACAAAATTCATGCAGATCCTGTGGTCATGATGTAAAGCTTGTATCAACCCTTTTCCCCTTACAGCAATGGTGTTTAATGTTCTGCTAAGGACAGCCTTTGAAATTATAACCAGCCAAAGGAAATTAGCATCAGTCTGGGGAATTAGCACAGGCCTTAGGCCACTAAATTCCATAGGATGGTAGTCTGTTTGGTCTGTAGTTATTTTTGGCCTTAAAATTCACTTAACAAAAAAATTCATCAAAATCACGATCTAGAATATAATTATGGTCCTGTTAAAGAACACCAAATTCTGTAAGTTAAAAAATTTTACCATCCCGAATGACAAGTGCTTTTTAAGCTTTTTGGTGAAGATTGTATTGACATTGAATTTCTTTTTACGATGGGAAATTAGACAGTGTAATAAGAGACAATATGGGGACGTTATTCAGCTAGTTTACAGTGTTGGTAGGACTCAGCTGAAATGCTTGTGCCTGAAATGATATAGGGGCACTTCCAGATATTTATCTGGTAGTATGTCCCATAGTTAATTAGGAAAGTTACCCATGGCAAAACTCTTTTCATACATATATATATTTGCAGGATCATTAGTTTATTGTTGACGATAAGAAAATATGTAAAATATGTTCATTTGAATACTATTTGTGCTTTCTGGGCATTATCGAGCTTAGAATTAAGATTATGAGCTTAGAAATTTGATAATATATTGAGCTGACTTTATAAAATATAATGTTTTATGCTTTTCACATAGCAGTTATGAACTCCCCTGGTCGCCATTTTTATGGTTATTCACAGTAAAATATATACTTATCTTAAGATAAGTTTAAAATATTTCATACTTGTATATCATATGCATAAGATAAAGCTCCTTCATAATTTTATCATCTTCACGAAAATTGATAAAAAATCTTGTGCATATTGGTGCTATAATAATGTTTTCCTCAATATGTATTCAAGAATTTTACAATTCACAAATGTTAGTAGTTTTATATTGATGTTTTCATATTTTGTCAATCATATTATATATGGCTGCCACTTTTGGTAAGGGAGGTAAATATTGTAAAAATCGGAAACTATATCTTATTAAGTCTTTGTTAGAATAAAAATTGCTTAAATATTATATATCCTGTATTTTTGAGCTTGGAAATAATATTATGAGCTGAGATTTATTTTGAGCTCATATGTAACTCAATATTTAAGCTCAGATATGATATTTTTGAGGTGCAATATGAGTATTAAGCTGTTATGTTTTTAACTCTTAACATAATTGTAAGCTCATAAATGATATGATAGCTCAGGTGTGATATATTGAGCTACAGAGAGGATATTTGCTTAGTTCAGTGTAAGATCGAAATATAATTCACAGAGTGAGCACCAGAAGGTATATTTAACGAGTGGCGTAGCCACATGTGAAATATGAACTTTTGGTGTTCACGAGGTGAAATATATTTTGATCTTACATTAAACTAAACTAATTTATTTTTTATTATATGCAAAGAAATGTTTAAAAAGACTTTTAAACCTAGTACTAAATGAAAAGGGCGCCAAATAATAATACAACGTGATGTCATTTACGACGTCACGTCATAAAGTTGGTTTCCAGTTCTGTGAATGCTTGTATTTCACTGAAACAATGTAATGAGCTCAAATATTCAAAACAGTGAAATTATCAAATTGATAATTTCATTGTTTAAAACAGTGAAATTATCACTTTTTATTTCACTGATACATTTCTATAAACCACCGAAAAGCATGTGATAAGTAATAACATGACCTCAGAAATAATTTATTTAGTACAGAAATGTTATGTTAAGCATGCAAGTTTAAGCTAGCTATGCTGATATTAGATCGTGGTTGAAATAGAACAAGATAAATTGATCTCTTAAAGATCTTGTATGTTTTAATTGAGGTTGTTACCACACTTCAGTGAAATTTTATATATGTATATATTTATGCTTATAAAACAATTTTAAAACATCGAAGAATATGTAAAATATGTACTGGAAATATTTGTGCACATTATATGTAATTATTAAAATATATGCATTCATTTCTTATTGAAAAATTTGGCTTGGACTTTTTAGAAAATAAATTCCTTATTACCTCCCTTTATTTACATGAAATGTTAAATTCGGTAATATCTTTACAAAAAATGCTGATTGGAACTTACAATATTGATAAATTTTAATTTAGCATCATATTTATGACATAAAATAATAAAAAAATGTGTTACAGGATCTTTAAGAATCGTTTTTTTATCACATTTTCACATGTGTTTTTTTTCCAAGGTAATATAACCTGATATAGTCATTACTTATTTCTTTTTACATGTATGACACATGTGTAATACAGCATCAACATACAAAACATTTTGTGAAAAGTTAAAAATGCAAGTTTATTTTCATAAATTGCAATGCATTTGGTAATATGACCTAAAGAAACCCATATTAGTTGTTATATGATATAAAATTTTATCAAACTTATCCAAAAAAGTGTTATAAAGCTTACCAGAGGCTTACTTTGTAGCAATTTCTTGAACTCATTAATAAGATTTTGTATTACATGACAACTCATGTGATAACTTAAATAATCATTAATTTTTAAAGATTATATATATTTTTAGACAAAGTTAAAATGTTTTTTTTACTCTTGGAAGACAGAAATCCTTATGTAACCATCAAGAGTTCATTAGGGAAACTTTTGCTTTCAATATAATATTTCATACTCCATTTTTTCTCCTGCAGTCGTTTTTAATCCAAGCTAATATTTTGAAAGATACGAGTACATATTAAAAAGTATTGAATTAATAAGTAATTCATATATTTTTTTGCCATTCAATTTAGAAAAGTAATATTAAAGAAGAATTGTTTAAGAGAAAATAGGGTGTTTCTAGGGAGTTTATATGAAATGAACAATTTTGTTCCTAGTGCCTTATATGATAAAGTTCAACAAAGTGATATGTTAATTAGGTCAAAAGATATGCTGATTAGGTCAAAAGATATGCTGATTAGGTCAAAATATTTGTTAATTTGGTCAAAAGATATGCTGATTAGGTCAAAATATATGCTGATTAGGTCAAAATGTTTTTGATAAATATATAATATTAGTTTTTCCATAAAGGTCATGTTTATGTCAGAAAAACCCTCTTCTTTTCTAACTTATCTTTTACCCATACAGGTTTATAATATTAACACTTAATGACTACAAATAATCTATTGTTAAACATTTTTTTTCAGATTAGGGGAATTGTTGCTTATTAAGATGTCACTAAATTAACAATTTTTCGTACCTCGGGAACGAAGTATGAAGTTATTGTATATTCCCAGTTCATAAACTTACGATTTAAAGTTGTTTTAATAAGCATTTACCATTTATTTTGTCATATGTATCATTTGTAACATTTGTTACTTGTCAATATGTTATTATATTGTTTAAAATTATTACGAAACAAATGTTTTGAAAATAAAAAAAGGTTTTAACAACATCAATTGTTTTGTCAAGTGTGTCATATAAGAATTTGCCAGTTTGTTTTCATACTTAAACAGCACTTGATTATTTTTTACGTTCATTATCTTTACCTTAACCTGCCGAATTTCTTAAAAAGACTAGTCCAGCTTCTTTTTTGGGGGACTGTCCATTATCAATTTTAGGGATATCAAGATGAAAAATTAAAAGAAAAAGACGTACCACAGATAGCCTGGTCAAAACTGACGTCTATGCTGATGGCAAGGCCTTCTCCGGTTCCAACCAGAGTATTAAATTCAGTTGTTAAAATTTTGCCGCTTTCATAACTGTCTGCCTCTTCCATAATGTCTTGCTCTAAAAGAAAGTAAATATGTTATTTTTTTGATGACTGGCATGAAATGGGACACTTACATAATTTCCACCATTTTATCAAATCAAGTTCTTATTTTTCAAGCATTTTGAAGCTTTTGGGACAGAAATTCCTTTGCATAAAAAGCAGGATTTGCATAAGGTTGGGTTTTGCCTTTACTTTATAGTGTGTCTTGAGGATCAAGTAATGCATTAAAATCTCAACGCTGAATGGTTTTAAGAAGTCATCTACGAGAACGAAATTGGACTGACCTGTGAGGTTTTAGAACCGTTATGTGTGTATAGGAAAAAACATTCTAGAGACGCCCAGCTTTTGGTAGATGTATGAAAAGAATGCGGAATTTGTGAAATTCAGTCTGTTTATGAGAAGTATGGTATAATGCAACATATTTATACGACTCATTCTAGTTGTTTTGTGATAAATTTTCAACATTTATGAGTCAAACAACAATATGAACAACTTTTTCCTGTTAATACGAAAAAGGTATAAACAAAAATTTGGGAGTTAAATTGCATTGTTCCTTTGGGACCAATTTAAGTTTGATCACTACCCATAGTTTGGGCGCTGCACACATTTTTCATGTTGATTATTTTGAAGGTAAAATTGATCAATATGACACCAGTCGACCTTCATCTTCTCTGTAAATGACTAAAATGTTTTTTTTAATTGATAAAAATGTCCGATATATTTTTTATTGATGAATGAAATTGGTTCAGTGTGTCTGTGTATGTCAGTGGGAGTCATTTTTTTTAAACATCAATCAAGAGACTTTTGATTCCCGGGGCTTTAGTCCCGTATACAGACATGCGATGCAATGTACTGCGCACATTGGAGTTATAATTTAGAATGCAACTTTGATTAAACGCCTATTTCTACATAAAAACATATCATTTGGCATTGTACAAACATTTTTGTAATATAAAAGACATTAACAATAGTAAATTAAAATACACATCATTATAAATTGGCATAATGATTAAAAGAAAAGAACGATTTCATGGAACAGCATACACACACACACACACACACGCACACACGCACACACACACACACACACACATATATATATATTTGCATACACACATTTACATACATATACATACACACAAATATCTCTCTCTATCTTTCGGTCTCTAAGATAAATGTTTACAGTACAGTAATTTTCTAATCACATTTCAATATTTTACAGTTTTTGTACATCACAGTTTATATCTAAGTATAAATTCTGTGCTTAGAATAGAGAGGAGAAAGTCCTTAAAGAAATAAGTTTTCAATAATTTTATTGTCTCTTGAAAATTTCTACAGATTTGCTTTGTATAAGGTCTCTGGCAAGTTATTTCCATAACTTTGAACCTATTGTATTAAAACTTCTATCTGAAAAGGTTTCCATGTTTCTGTTAATTTGGTATTTCATTAGCATCCAACAGCTGGCTGCGATGACTTAAAGAGCGTTTTTTTGGGTTTTGAGGAGTCAAAAAAAATTAATTTAGTAAGTTGATGCATTTCCTAAAGAACAATTGTACATATTACACTAGGATCTGAAATTTATGCGAGCTTTAATGGGACCAGTGTAAATCGAAAAAAGTGCTTGCTTGGAGCAATCAAATGTTGTTCTATTTAATACAAGTTTAGCACACATGTTTTGGATACGTTGAAGTTTAGAATAACTCAGTTTTCGAGATACCGTACAAAATGAGCTACAGTATCCAAGTGTGAGATATAGCTGGAGATAAAAACAAGGTTTCAGTGGCATCAGAAGACAAAATACTGCGAATACACTTGATCTTAAATATTTTAAGCATAGCAGTTTTCCATTTTGTTTGATATTAATTTTGAATTTAAGATTCATCTAAGAAGGCACCAAAATATCTCAATTATACGATTTGCGTTCGATTTCTTAATTCACAAATATCAATTTCTTTTGTGCTCACTTCTCTAATTGTTGACGGGCTTCCGTAAAGAAAACAAACGCAGCTTTTTGTTGGTATTCATTTTTCAATTTTGTTTCCGTTCATCCACTCCCTTGATGTCGACGGGGAATTTTCAAAGGTCTTGAATTGCAGACGCTTCGTCGAATGGTGGTTTTTTAAAGCGTTTGTTAGCATGTGGTAAATCCAAACACGGGAATAGAAGGAAACACAATGTCAAATATCGTTGCAGCATAGGTTAGCATAGCCAAGGCCCCAAACAACTTCCTTGGGAGGGAACTACAGTAAGCTTTCACTGTGAACAAGTTGGAAAATTAACGTTCACCGATAACTGCGTGGCTTTTTAAGTACGAATATATCCATCTATGAGCAGAGTCACACATACCATACCGGGGAGACAACCTCCTTTAACGATACTGCTTTCAATTTCGAATCTTTACTTTTATACGTTTCGTGTTATTGTGTAAAAGTTTTTGAAAGGAAATCATTCTAGAGCAAAGATAAAATAAATCTGTTTTAGGGTTTTTCATAGAATAAATAATCCTTACGCGCCATGCACCGGCTTAAGGTTTTTTTCCCTTGTATATAAAATGGTATTTGCAGTGGAGTAAATTATCATATTTTTATAATTATGTTTTAAACGAATTTACATAAACACATTTTGAATTAAACGACTTACTAAAAAATACTTTTTCTAAGGGAGGTAAATGTATAAATGCGAAAAATTGATTAAGTTGCGAAAGAGTGTTCGTACGTGTTTGCTACGCACGGAAGTTCTGTTTCAAAACTCTTTTTCGCATGACTAAAATTAAAATTTCAGGTATTTATTTATTTCTTTTCTCAATTTTCATAACCATTTTAAATATGCCATTTATCAAGCCGTTTTGCTAGGCGGAAGTTTTTGTTTCAAACTCTGTTTTGCATGATTTAATTTTAAAATTACAGGTATTTTTTATTTCTCTCAATTTTCATAATCATTTTATACATCCATTACAAAGCCTATGGCAAAATATTTTAGTAAATATAGTTTAACTGTGATCAAAATTTCAATAACTTAATCAAATCAATAAATGAAATCCTTGTTCTCAATCTAAAATGCAGAAGAATAAATCAAATTTTATGTTAATTAGAGGCGAACTTTGTCTGTCAATTTTATTGCTTCATTTATTATTATTTAAGAAGAATTTAATTACACAAGACTTCGAATTTTTAAAATAGCTGAATATTTTTATTTTCTATTATTATTCTTTTATTCAACATGGAAAGGCAACTTCTGAACTGATTAAAACACCGATATTTGAACATTGCATTTCATTATATACAGTCAAAATTTAAGTTTAAAGGGAAGGAAATAAAAAGAATTGAATGTCCTTAATAACGACGGTTTACAATTTTACTAAATTAAACAGCAGGCAGGTTTTATTGATACATATGCAGATCATTAAAATTTAGTAGCCGGAAGTTTTTGATTTGTTTTTTGTTTGATGTGTGATACACATTTGAAGAAAGCTTTTCAAATTTCATGATTTTGTGACTGAAAGACTCTTTTGTTTGGTTTAAAATAAACCGATACATAATGCGTATTTTGCCGCTTTTGATTTGTATTGAAAACGATAATTACCCCATTTTGAAGCCCTGAGGTCAGTATATTTAAACAATGTGCTTTAACAGCCGAGTGGGCCTTAAACACGATTTCATTATTTTTGACAGCATAAATTCAATCTTTTGATGATGAATCATATGTACCTGATAAATATATTAGCCGGGCCTCACTAAGATAAAACGTGTAATAGTTACGGTAAAAATTGATAGATCTTTGTAGAAATCAAACCAATATTCGGCAAGTAACGGTTGAAATTTATAAAGGATATAAGGTAGAAATTTATACATATGTTTTCAAAACGGTGCTTCTGTTATAGTAGATTATGTTTTAACCAATGAGAAAAACTTCTCAAATATCCATCATTTTTTGTGTTCAGCAAGTTAACGGGTTAGCGACCACTCCCCCTATAGAATTTTTCATTACATACTAAATACAGTAAAAATACCTGTGACATAAAAATTATAATTGGGATTCGAAACCTTAGGGATACCTTTAGCGCGGGTTTGATCGGCATATTGCCTGATGCCTAATCAATTCACTGAGTGATTCGACAGGCCGTAAACAACACTATAAATAGTTTTACTTTGTTTAACTTAGGGAAAGTTGCAGACACTCTTTTTTTTCAAGAACATATACAAATAAAACACAATGTTAAATTTTCAGACAGTCAGTCTTTTAAAAGGATGCTGACTGGTTTTGACGGCCGAATGCAGAAATTCAAAAATATATATGTAGATGCCTTAAAGTCATTTTTATATATGTAAAACTCCAGCAAGTAGAAGTATATTGTGCAATGTAAGAAAAGAATATAAAATTTAATCTGAAAAGAAAA